AAGCTATTTATGCTCATAAAGGGGGTGGAATGAATGGATAGGTGCATGCCACACTTTTAAGATAACTGAAAATGTCATGCGATGTACGGAACTGATTTGTTTTGGTCTCTAAACGTGAAAAAAATAAATGAAAACATAAATGAAACTAATGAAACCTGCTTAATGAAGTAAAATACACAAACAGTGGTGTGACCACTGAGCTGGTGCTTGATAAAAGCAGCAGTAAAGATGATGGACTAGTGGCTGCAGAGATAAGTGGTTAATTGGGGGTCTATCTCTGCAAAGGATCTCATTACTGAAGCTCAAAGCACTTTGTTATCAAGCCCAGCCACTCCAAAGAGCCACTAATGACACCTTCCGCTGATAAACCACAACTCAGCCACAGCGTCCAACAGGTCTTTATGAGGACACGGCAAACAGACTCTACAAGCTCCAAGGACGTGTTTTTAGTTGTGAGGAATAAAGCGGACTACCTGGTTTTGTAGTTGAAGCTGAACGGGTTCGTGTCTGCTTGAGAGTCGGCGCTGAAGGGGTTGGGAGAGCGCAGGTCTCCAGAACTCCCCGAACGCCCCCCGTTGCTGGCCTTGCGGCCTTCCTTCTTTCCCGTCACACGTTCCAGTAGGCTGACCTTCTCCTTTTTCTCCCTCCGCTCCGCCCGGTCCCACGGCTGTTGCCCCCGCTCACCCTCAAATGGGTTGCGGTTGCGTGGGAGCGTGGCATACTTCTGTGGCAGGGCGTCACTGATATCAGTGAAAGGGTCACTGTGTGCTTCTCCGTCCTGGTATCCTGGCACCTCGCTCTGGGAACGCCTGTGAGGGCCACCTGTACTTCCTGAAATCAGAAATGAAACTTGTAACTGCTGCTGTGATAAACAAGACCAACAGCTGGACACCTCGTTAGGAAGGAAAATATTTAACGCCAGGTGCATGTTTACAGACGCCTGCAGAAATAAATAAAAGGATTATCAATAAATTCTTTTCAAGCCGTCTATGTCTAATTAAATACAGCTGTCCACATGAAGTGAATCTGCAACGTTTCTGTGATATATAAATATTTCAACTCTGAAAAACCATTTTGAAACCTTATTTCCCACCCATAACGTGCTTTTTACCATTAAAATCCACTGAATATTAAATAAATCTGATGCAATAAGCTGGTGTGTGAACATTTGTTCAAGCACCTTTTAATTTACGATCAGAATTCAGTTTGTGAGTTTAGATTAGAATAGAAAATCCCTTTTTTGTTCCATAATGGGGAAATTCTGGTGTTAACAGCAAAAAGATGATAGAAAAATGGTCACACAAACGTGGACCTTAGAAAAGTTTACAAGAATAACATTATAGTGAAGAGTTAAAAGATAAACAATAAAATACTACACTGTAAAGTGCACCTGGAGAATAAATAACCAATATCCAGCCATGGACATTTTTACAGTAATGGATATTTAAAAACAGCAGCAACATCAGAGATGTGCAAAATGAAAGCAGCAGGTTATTAAACTGACTGAGTTAGAAACTGTGCAAAAATCAACACGAATGTAAAAACTTATTGAGGTTGTTGAGAACAGTGGTGTTTATTAGTGGGGGAACGGTTAACAAAATCCACGGTTTGGTTCGGTTCACGGTTTCGTGGTCATGGTTTTCGGTTCGGTATATGTTGATTGTTAGCCTGACATGTTGGTTTTGTTTATGCTGTTAGCATAAACAAAACGTGTTGCACAATGCTTGCACACTGTTGCA